ATTGGAAGCTTACCATGTGCCTGTGGGATCCTAGTTTTCTGTAGTTCTCTGCATGTTTCTACTCCTTTGATCCTCAGAATCATCCTAGAAGGTGAGTGTTCTACATTGTGCACTTAGGAAAGAGAGAGGTCAGGTCCCTCGATCAAGGTCCCACAGCTGCCGGCCAGGGCTCTCGACCGCCTTGAACCATCCCCACGTCTTCCATCTTGAACACCAGGCTCTTTTCCGAAGAATCATTCTCCGAAGGCCACAGCCAACCAAACTTGAGCGACCCCAAATTCGTTACCGACCAGAGGCTTGCCACAGAGCCCCTGAGATCCTCATTGCTGTCTAACTCTTGGCTTTCGTTGTTTATGGTTTTATTCTACTTTTTCCTTTTTGGCGTATCACTGCTGACGTTTCTGAGCCCCTTCTTTTTAGCACGTGTCCCCGCCCTGGGCCTTTAGAGAAAACAGCCCGCCGTGAACATTCCCCGAGGCAGAGCACGGATTGTCAAGTTTCCAGCCTGTGCGAATTGAACCCCAAAGCAGCAGGCATCAGCGTCGGGCCGAGAAGCCTTGGCCTCTGGCCCGGGATGTTCCACAGAAGAGCCGGGAGGCTCTTGCAGTCAAAGGGCGGTGACTCACCCCACTAAACACCCCATAAGTTCAGCCAGAGCAATTGTACCTGAATTTGCTTTTATGGTGCCAAGTAAGAATTTTCCAAGGCACCTCTTTATTTGGAAGGAGCTGGACATCTGGGATGTCTGAGGCTCGGTGACTTGTCCAGAGTCACGGCTAAGTATGGGGGCGGTCTCTTACGTACAGTGCTCCCCCTGCCACAGATGGCACCCAGCAAGGTGTCTTACACAAAGCGGATACCTACTGAAGGTTAATGACCGAGGAATGATTTGCTACGGTGTTGCCGGTAACTCTGATTTAACCATCATCCCAAACAACTCTGATTGGAAAATTAACAGGTGTATTATACGGAGTCTTTCACTTGTGGCCTTAGTAATTTGATTTGGTCTAATAACTGCATTGACTTTGTTGTGATACTCTAATAGTAGACCAAAATGAAAGGGAGAGATTTCCAGTTCCACAGTAAGGGTTCATAAGGCCGTTAGTTTCCGGTGTAAGTGCACGATTAACGCAGGTGCCTTCCTGGTGTTTCCTCCTCTACCCTCATTCCCCAGGCGGGTCCAGCCCCGATCCAAACGTAACCACTGTCGTCACTTTGTGTGTGTCCCTCTGGACACTTTTCCAGGGCAGTTGCAAGCACGTTTACGTATTTATAGAAGCGTAAACATGAGTGGGCAAAATGCAAGCCAACGCTGTTGGGAAAGCATTCCGTGTTGTGTCTGTAGCCACCAGAGTCGATGGCGTGCTATTGATTTGGGCCGATCTCATTTGACCCATTTGACACCTGGCCATATTTAATAAAAGAATGTTTTCTTTTGTAACATCCCCCGGACAAGCAAACATTCCTTTGATCTTCTTCTTCTGTGCGAAGGGAGAAAAACAGTCCCTCTGCCCCACCCGCCCCCTCTCCGGGTTTTGCTTCATTCTTTGAAATCGGCCGAGTTTTAAAATGTAGCTAACCCAGTGAGTAGAGAAGGGCATCAGTTCTGGGCCCCCACTCTGCCCTCTCCATCCCTTCCGGGATCGTTCTCGGCGGTGGATCTTGGCTAGCCACTTCCTGAGTCTGTGTTCCTGAATGCCGGACCTCATCCTTAGGGTGGCTTAAAGATCCAGTCCACACTGTGCCAGAAGCAGTGATGCGTTTCTTTCCTGGTGGCCGTTAGCTGCTTTTCAGGTTTTCAAAGGGTCTTTCCTTTCGAGGCGGTGACTGATGTGCACGGGAGACACTGCTCGGCTGATTACTCATTTAAGCTTAGGCTGAATATTAATTAAGTCCATTATCTGCAGATGTTAATCACTTGCCATGTGCTAGCAAAGCATTTATTGCACACATAAAAAATTCAACTAAGAATCAGGATACATTGAACTTACAAAGAGATGTTTCGTGTGTATACGCTTTTTGTTTTTGGTTTTTTTTTTTTTTTGAATTTCAGTTTTCTTGAGTAATCCTTGGCAAAGCACGTAAGGAAATTTCCTTTTAAAACACACTTTAAACGCTGAACGAAGAAAAGCCGGTGCTTTGCAAAACCCATCTTGAAAACAATGTGTTGCCCGTGTGGAGTGTTTTAAGTAAACAGAGAGTATAATTACTGAGTGATTTAAAAAATCACCGTGCTTATTAGATAATAACAGATCACTTAGGGAGATGAAGCCAGCGCCCTTCAGATGCTTAGATATTATGGGGCAGAATAAAATTAGACTGTGTAAGTCCAGTTACCATGGCTCTGGAAAGAGTCTCGTTTCTAGAGCACACAGGGTTCAGAGCCGCACAGAGATACCTCTTAACACCTTTTGCTCCGTGCCTCGGAGTATTCATGCTGCCTGATCGGAGCAGGGGAACACTCCTCTAGCCAAAATGCCCCCGAGAGCAACGCAGAATGAGTGTCACTGGGGCAAGTATCGCGTAATTAACAACATGGAGGGCCCCATCTTTTGCTGCCTCTGGCTGAGATCCCTGTCCTTTTCAGCGTTGTACGAGCAGTCCTGTGAAGCCCACAAGCACAGAGGAGACTCTTCAGGGCTCTACTATATCGATTCCGATGGAAGTGGCCCTCTGGAACCTGCTCTCGTATATTGCAACATGACAGGTAGGCTGATAAGCTTTATTATGCCAGTTAAGCTCATGTAGTTGACTGCTGTGTGCAAAACCAGGTTTTACTTCGTTGAGTGGCAGGTTCGTGTGCAACTCTGTATAAGTCATATTTCATTTTTCCTGGAGACCCCATTATATATGGTGGATCAGTATATATGGTGGATCAGGTAGGTCATAAATAAACCAGCTCTTCAAAGGACCAGTGCACCCACCCCAGTGAATGATAGAATTGATACAAATTCTAACGCCTTTTTTACGCTCGTGTCTGTGTGTGTGTGTGTGTGTGTGTGTGTGTGTGTCAGTTGCTACCTTTTCTCCCTGTGCTCAGAAAACAACCCTCCTTTATGAAACTTTCCCTGCTGCTTCAGTGGTGTAGACATAACAGGTACTCCAACAATGACAGAATTTGGCCCCGCACAGTCGGGAGACAAATGGTCAGAAAAGAGTCAGCCGTATGTGGTTCTAAGGTAACCATGACCTGGTTATAATTTGGTTTCTCCGCTCTGGCCACAGGTCACCCTGATTGGGTTGCAGTTTCTGTAAGGAAGGAGTTATTTGTGGGTGAATTTATGATGGTGGTTTGTGAGTAGATGAAAAGTCCTGATGCGGTTTTTACACCTACTGTCACTTCATACATCAAACAAAATCGGAGCATTTGGGCAGTGGTTACCCAACCAATTTGATCCAGATTGGGTCAACTCTACCTTCCAGCGTACAAACTACCCCCAAGGTTGGTATAGAAAACGTGACGGGCGCCGGGGTGGCTCGGTCGGTCAAGCATCCGACTCTCGGTTTTGGCTCAGGTCACGATCTAAGCGGTTTTGTGAGTTGGAGCCCCGCATTGGGCTCTGCGCTGACAGTGCAGAGCTTACTTGGGATCGTCTCTCTCCTTCTCTCTTTGCCCCTCCCCCACTCAAGCTGTCTCTGTCTCTCTCAAAATAAACGAACTTAAAAAAGTTAAAAAGAAAAGAAAATGTGAGAGCTCCCCGGGCATTGTACTGGAGGTACGTGTGGCTGGTTGGGGCTCTGGGGCAAGCATTTTCTCATAGATACTGACCAAAATATTGCAGTGTGATCATAGGAGATAAATATATTGACTTAACCTTTACTGGAAGGTGTGTGATCGGTCAAGTACGTGACGAAACAGCCAAGAGGATCTTTCTAGATATTCTGGGCTCCAGAGGTTATAACAGGCCTTCAAGTTACTCAATTTCTGCTCTGTTTTGCTTGCATTATCATGGCTCAAGTGAATGCCAAGAACAGACAAAGCTAAATAAAGATGCTGGCATCCCAATAATACATCCCCCTTTTATCAGTCACGTGCTTCATTATCATAGAAGTCTAGGACATGTTAACGATTCTTCTATGTTTTGTCCTGGCTAATCCTGTAAGCAAAGTTCCTTCTACACTGAGGAATTTCAAGATCCCTGGAAAGATGAAAATGGTCCCAACTGGCACATTCCAAGATGAGTAAGGTTTCAATGACTGAAGCTGTTTTCTTGATAATTAACTGTTGGCAGCTTTTGGTAGGGCCGAGGTCAAGTTCATTTAAAAAAAAAAAAAA